CCAATAGATCTGTTTTGGAAGAAGTGCAGCCAGAGTGCTCCTTAGAGGCCAACATGGCCAAACTTCGTCTCTCATACTTTGGACATATTGTCAGGGGGGAACAGTTTCTAGAGAAGGATATTATGTTTGGTAAGATGGAGGGTCAGAGAAAAAGAGGAAGATGGCTGACCAGGTGGCAGCATTGATGGACTCAAGTGTGGCAACAGTAGTGAGGTTGGCCCAGGATTGAACATTGTTTCATTCTGCTGTGCATAGGGTTGCTATGAGTCGGTGTTGACTCAATGGCACTTAACAACAACAAAGAGCTGTCAGTCACTTCTGATTTATAGTGACACTGTACAGGGTTTTTGAGGAGTGGGGTGGCTTTGAACTGCCTACCTTGTGGTTAGCAGCTCAGTAGTTAAGTGCATTCAAGTCGGTTCTCACTTATGAAACACTTGTGTAGTGTTTCCAAGAAGCAGCTATGGATTTGAACTGCCAACCTTGAGGTTAGCAATCCAGTGTTTATCATACAGCACCATACCAGGACTCAGTGGAGAAGAGCTCAATTGGATGAAATGGAGGAGCTGAATAAGGACTAAAGGACCCTGTGCCTGATCAACAAAATGGCACTGCAACTACCCCCAGTTAGCACTGAATAAAGTCCTTCTTGAGCTTCTGGTCTCCGGACAGCTTAAGTCTTTATTACACCTGGAGACCTTCCCCCCTAGTAATTCCAGGTTTCAGGGAAATTTCCATACCCCCCCCCATTATAAACTCGCCAGAACTGTATCCAGACCACACAGCCCTAACTACCCCAGTCTGTAAGAGAACAGACGAGCTGTTGGTCTCCTTTGGTGACTTAGAGTACCCCCTTCCAGGTTTACTCTCAATAAACCTGCCTGCTGTTGAAGTCAATCAAGACTTTCTCCTCATCTCTTTCTTTTCCTTCCAAGAACTTTTCCAGGTTTCCTAATCTGGGTTCCTTGGAAAGACTTTGTTGTCCTTTGTTGTCAAGTTGTTTCTAACTCATGTTGTTGTTGTTAAGTGTTGTTGAGTCGATTCCGACCCATAGCGACCCTGTATAGGATTTCCAAGGAGCAGCTGTTGAGCTTGAACCGTGACATTGCAGTTCAAACGGCTTTGCAGTCTGGTGTATTACCCCACAGCGCCACCCACACCAGGACTCCATAGAGACCCTTTATTGGAACAGAAAGTCTCATCTTTCTCCCACTGAGCAGCTGGTAGGCTCGAACCACTAACCTTACTGTTAGTAGTCCAATGCTTATCCTACAGGCAATGTGGCTTAGATTGCTTGGGCATGAGTCTTGGCTTTGGCCTCTAAGCCTCAACCTTTCATCTGTAAAATAGGGTATTGGGGTTATAAGCTTAAGGACAGAGTAGCATTATTATTTTCTATTTCTGGTGAGATTTTCAAAGGGGTTCTTAACCTAGAAAGTTTGTGAACTAATGGTGTAAGTGCTTGGGAAGGATGGAGTATACCAAATTCGTTTAAAATGACGCAGCTCGCTCTACAAATATGGGCTGCTCCGGGAACCAGAAAGTCCAGGTTCCACGGCTAACTTGCTAAAAGTCCCTGACAAAAGCTCACTGGGTGATTTTAAAAATAAAGAACTGCTCGGATATAGCTGCCGTAATGCAGCTCCAGGGGTACCTTGTGTCTTGGTGGGTGGGTAAAAATACTCTGCTGCAGGACACCAGCGCTGAGCCTCCGGACCGACTACTTATCCCAGACAGCTCTGCGCTTCTGAGCCAACTACATTTCCCAGCCGGCTCGACGCTTCGGGCGGTGCCCTTCTCTAGCACGCGAGCCTCCTTTCCCCGCTGTTAGTGGATCTCGCGAGAGGACGGGCCGCGCCGGCGATAGTGATAGAGCTGTGGCGGTGGTGGTGGCGGTCGAGACGACGGCGGCCATTTTGGTAAGGCCTCGGGAGCGGCGGCGGTTCGCTGGGAGTAGTGTCTCCCTTTTCCCCACCCACTGCCCGCATCTCTGTGCCGTGAGAGGAGGCGGTAGTAGCAAGGCGGTGGTAGTAGCCGTGCTCCCGAGGAACCTAAAGGCCACGAAAGCAGCGGCCAAGAGGGGGCCCTCCCCCCTCCTTGACTGGAGGGGGGGTGGTTTGCACACCCCTGAGGACGCAGGTAAGGAGAGGGAGGCAAGATGGCGGACGCCCCACACTTCCCCCTCCCCAACGGGTGATTGCGCGCGCAGCTTTCCGCCACCGCCTCCCCTCCCACCTTCCCGGGGTGCTGCGCGCGCACCTAAGGCCGGGGCCCCGGGGCCGGTGCGCAAGGCTGTCGGCGCGCGCCCATACACAACTGAGCAGGGCCAGGGCGGCCGGCCGACGCTGGGCCCCGGCGCGTCTCCTCGCCCCTCCTGCCTTTCTGCGCACGCGTGCCCGAGCGAGTGAGCGAGCGGCCCTGAGAGGACGGACCCAGGTGCGCTCCTGCCCGCCCACCAACCCCTGCTCTCCCCCCTCAGGGGCGCGCGGGAAGAGGCAGGGGGGCGTGTGGCGAGTCGGGGGCGCGCACCCACTATATCCAGTCAGGGAACCAGGACCGGGCGGCAAAAAACCTCCCCCCCCCTTTTTTATCCTTCAGTCTTTTTAAGGTCTGTTTTTCCGGGGGTGGAGCGAGGCCCAGCCGGGCTGTGCTGAGCGGCCTCCGCACCTTACGACCCCTGTGCGTGGGTTCGGGTTCTGGCGGGAGCCCTCTGGTCGTGCGCGCCACCGGCTCGCCCCGCCTCCAGCCGCGCACGCGCGGGCCCTTCCCCCAGTCTGGCGCGCACGATGGGAGGGGTGGGAATCTAGGAGGGGCCGGCTGTTAGGGCTAGCGGCAACTTAGGGTAGGGGTCAGGGGTCACGTCGGGTCAGCCTGCTGAGGGTGGATTGGAAGCCAGGCCTGAAGCCTTGGGTCGAGAGTTGAAGTTTCTGGGACTCTGGTTGGCACCGGTCTTGCGACTATAGCAGAGGGAGTGAATCAAAGGCGGCACCTGGTTGAGGAGTTTCCTTAAACACTCGGGAAACACTTCCGGGCCTTTTGTAGGTTACTGCTCCCTGCTTCCGGTGCATGGTTCTGCCTTTGCGTGCCTTCTCCTCTGACTACTACTCTCTTGTCCCCTGCTGTAGTTCTCCAGGTTGGAGAGGTGTCTTCTGGCAAAGGTACAGGGTTCACTGGGCCCAGCCCGGAGGAGGGGCATCTTCTCCTGTAACCAGCACGTTTCTGAACTGCTGGCACTTCCGCTCCTGTTTCTGACTAGGCTTCCCCTGGAAAAGGAGGACAGACTGCTATGCATCCAGCACCTTTTTGAACTGAATACAGCAGTTTGGTTTTGCTTTGTTCTCTCATCCGTGATTGGAGCCTTTGACCTTTTTGAAGTTTTTTGCACCCACTTTCCCTGATTCTTATTCACAGCTTAAATCCTGAAGGGGATTTGGTTTTCACAAAACATGTGCTTTTATTTTTCTGAATGTTAGCTTTTCCCCTTGTGGATCCCTCTTTTTTCCAGCCTTTGAACCGATTTAGATATAATTAAAAGGTTTAAGACTTTTGAAATAACAGATGGGCTCCAAGGGATAATGGGACAAGTGTGGGTTAGTGCCTCCCCTTCTGTTTCTTCCAGGCGTGATTCCCCCATTCCTCTCAGTACGGCGGCACCGTGGAAGTTCAGACTTTCACAGGGGGTGTGGTCTCAGCTCATACAGGTGAGGATTCAAATACCAGGTATCTTTTTGTGTGCTGGTGCTCATGGGTGGAATGGCTGAAATAACAAGAAAATATATGTCAGTAGTTCTGTATTCTTGCTCTGGAAAACTAGGAACGTCTGCATGTAATTTCTCTGGAGAATTTGATGACAATATAGGGCTAGTCCTGGTGTGGTGCTGTGGGCTAATGCGTCAGACTGCAAAGTCATTTGAACTGCAAGGTTGGTGGTTCAAGCTTAGCAGCTGCTCCTTGGAAACCCTATATAGGGTCACTATGGGTCAGAATTGACTTGATGACATTTAACAACAACAACAGAAGCCCTGGTGGTGCTGTCGGATTAGCACTGGATTGTTGACTAAAAGGTTGACAGGTTAAACTACCAGCTAGTCCAAGGAAGAAAGTTGAGGCTATGTGCTCCAGGAAGCTTTACGGATAGGGTTGCAATGAGTCGGAAATAACTCAACGGCTATGAATTTGGTTTTTGGGCTTTAGGGCAGGAACAGAACTGGGGCTGTGGATAGAGAAAGATCTGGTCACCCAGGCTCTACCAAGGGAAATAACAGTGTAAAGTAATGGCATCATAGTACCTGGGTTTCAGTCCTGCTTCTATCATTTCCCTACCAAATGACTTAATTGGATCTTTTTGTATTCTATTTTTTTTTTTAGCTCACAAAATAGGGATTAAAGTATTTAATGAAGCATCTGATAGATAGTTGTTAAGTGCCATCGATTTGGTTCTCACTCATACCTACCCTGTATAGGGTTTGCAAGGAACAGCTGGTGGGTTTGAACTGACAGCCTTGTGGTTCACACTCCAGTGCTGATCCTACAGTACTGCATCAGGAGTTTTGTTTTGTTTTTGTTTTATAAAGTAGATTGTAATCAGTGTTTCTACCTTACTTTTTATATAGTGTTCCTGTGTTTCTGGCACTTTTTTGTCTTATTTTTAAATCTCCTTTTTTTTTAATTTCATCCTTAACTTTTTTGTTTTTAACCCTACCTTAGGTGCTCCAGAGGCCAGTGAACCTGAGCGGAGGCTGGGACGCCCTGGTGGGCCCCGGGCCCTGGAAGGTGGGTCCCGGTGGCCGGTGGCCCAGAATGAGGCCAGTTCCCAGCATGCCCTGCAGCAGGACGCCAGCCCCTCGGCCAGCAACAGTGGTGACGACCCAGTCATTCTTCAGGCATCGAAGGAGGAGCCTGAAAGTGGGACCATGCAGAGCAGCCCCTCCCCTGCTCACCCTCAGCTCCCAATCCTACAGACACAGGTGTGTAAGTGGGGATAGGTTCTTCTCTCCTTTTTGGACCACTGACTGTGAGGTAGCAATGTTACAGTGCTAGCTACATTTCCATGATTCTTGTTACCTGGAGAACTGAATCTGGAGACTACTTTTGTGCTCATGTGCTCAGATGAGCAGCAGTCTAGTGGATATTAGTATTATGTTGATGTCCGAGAGTGTGGAAGCCCCTGTTTGGCTGAGAAAATGTTAAATTAGGCTAGGTGATAATAGAGGTTGGGGCAGTATGCTAAGTCTATGTTTTCTAAGAATAGTGTCACTATTGGAAGTGGAACAGATAAGTGGTATAGATAGTGTGTGATACTTGTTCTTTTCTTAAATCAGAAAAGCATGTGGGGTAGGAAAAAAACATGACTTTTGGAATGGAACAAAACAGGTCTGTATGCATACTTAGGGATTTGATGCTTATAATTTTCCTGAACAGCTGGGAAATTTTGTGACATGGACTCTTGTCATTTAGCTGAGGTAGAAATTTGGGAGGCACACTGTAAGTGAGCAGATTTTTGTGAGTCTCCTAAGTATCTCCATTTTGGTAGGACTTAGTTTTCCATTTCTTTTTGCTTTTGCAATATCTTGTAAAATGATGTGTGGGTGTTAAAGAACAGGGACTTTCCCTCTGTCATATAAAGGAAGCTACTAAGATTGGTGATAAACGTGAAGAGGACTAAGTGGTCTTGATTTTAGTGACCTATTGAATTTGATGGTAAAAATCAGTTGCTTTTGACTCATGACATCTATATGTGTGTTGGAGTAGAGCTGTGCTCCATAGGGTTTTCAATGGAAGTAGATCATCAGGCCTTTATTCCAAGATACCTTTGGCCCTACTCTTAACTTCCAGCCTTTTGGTTAGCAGCTGAATGTGTTAACCATTTGCACTACCCAGACTCCTGATTTATGTAGTAACTCAAATAATGAATCTATTATACTTGCTGTGAACATGAGGGAAAAGCAGACTTGTTTAAGTGAGAAAGTCATTAAGGCTCTGAAAAGAACATTAAAATTTTAAATCATCGGGTGTAGTTGTTGCTGTTGAGTGATGTCAAGTCGCTTCCAACTCAAAGCGACCCTCTATAGGGTTTCCAGAGAGTGGCTAGTGAGTTTGAACTGCTGACCTTGGGGTGCAAACTGACCTTGCTGTCCAGTGCTTATCCTACAGCACCACACCAGGCTATAGTAGTATTCATAATTTGGGATACTCTGGATATCTTAGAACACATATTTCTTGTATTTGTAGAGCATCATTTACAATCTTGGCTCTACCATCTTGAACACTTAATTAAAACTTTTACCCCAAATATATGTGTGTAAAAATGGTATTATTCTAGAGTTGTGGTGTTTTTGTTTCTTTTTTATGAGAGGGAAATGGAATAATGTCCTTAAAACTCTTAGTACAACATTAAGCATTCATTTTCTCCTTTTCTAGATGGTGTCGGACGGCATGACAGGCAGCAATCCTGTGTCCCCTGCCTCATCCAGTTCCCCAGCCTCTAGTGGGGCAGGTGGCATCTCCCCCCAGCACTTAGCTCAAGATTCTTCTCTAGATGGACCTCCAGGCCCCCCAGACGGTGCCACAGTGTCCTTGGAGGGACTTGGCTTACCCCAGCCTGCTGATCTGGCTAACAAGGGCCCAAAGTGGGAGAAGAGCCATGCTGAAATTGCAGAGCAGGCGAAGCATGTACGTTTTGGGAGGGCCTATGTTGGGAACCTTCCTTAAATTTCCATTTCCCATCTCTTTCCTGGTTTTTATCATGGATTTAGGGCATGGTCTCTGCCTTAACTCATATGGTCTTGAGCAGGAAACTTGAATGATGAGTCTTATTTTCCTTTTCTCTGAAACAGGAATTGTGTCTGTAGGTTTTTGTTTTGAGCTTTAAGCTGAATGATGAAATAGACATGAAAATGTCTTGTAAACTGTGAGGTTCTTAAGATTTATTTGTTTCTACTCATTTCTACCTTGCCTGTGTTACACATATGTAACACTTGGGTATGTGTGGTCCTTGAGCCAGCAACATGAATGCCACCTGGGAACTTGGTAGAAACACAGATTCCTGGTACTCCTCCTACCTGCCCATTTAGAAATTCTGGAGGTAGGGCCCACCATTGTTTTAACAAGCCCTTCAGATGATTCTGATGCCCACTCAAGTTTGAGAGCCACTCACTGATATAAAATATATTTTGTTCTTGCTGTTTCCTTCATTGTCAGGTCGCTTAGTTGCCTGTCTCATCTCTGGTTGGCATTTCCTCTGACTTAGAAGAAGATGTGAATAAGGAGGAAACTATGAAGTGGTGTTTTTTTTTAAGTCTCCTCTGTTAAAAATTTTCACATGAATTTTTTTCTTACTATGAAAATAATATACTTTGTTACTGTTACTGATCTCCATCAAGTTGGTTCTTGACTCTTGGTCACTCTGTGTATACTTAGTAAAGTTGTCCATAGAGTTACCTTTTAGAAACAGATTGTCTGACCAGTCTTCTGAGGTACATCTGGGTGGGACAAATTGCTCACCTTTTTTGTTAGTAGTCAGGTGCTAAATTGTTTGCACCATCCAGGGACTCCTGTAATCAAAATGTTAAGTTCCATCAAGTTGGTTCTGACTCATAGTGACCCTGTATAAAGTTTCTGATAAGCAGCTGGTAGGTTTGAACTGCCAACCTTGGGGCTAGCAGTCCAGTCTATAATCAAAATGTTTTTGTTATGTGTCGTGGAGTCATTTCTAACTTATAGCAACCCTGTATAAGGTTTCTGAGGCTGTTAATCTTTATGGGAGCAAAAAGCCTCATTTTTCTCTTGCGGGATAACTGATGGTTTTGAACTTCTGATCTTGAACTTCATCCATTGGGCGTGCAAATTGCATGAGGTAATCAAATGAACATGAAAATAAGTATCTGGAGTTGGTAGACCTATTTTTGATCACTTTATAACTGATCTCCAGGAGGTCACTTAATTTCCATGTTCTTTTTTCCTTATTTGAAGAGAGCATAATAATCTATTTGTGGGGTTGGTATGAGAATTAACCAAGATCATACGCATAACACATCTCAGTCAGTATCTGTACATGGTCACTACTCCGTAATTGAACTGTGAAGTGGCATTTGTGTCCAGGCAGTCTTCATCAACCTCGCTTTTCCCCATTAAGGAGGCTGAAATTGAGACTCGGATTGCTGAGCTCCGAAAGGAGGGTTTCTGGTCACTGAAGAGGCTACCAAAGGTGCCAGAGCCCCCCCGTCCCAAAGGCCACTGGGACTATCTGTGTGAAGAAATGCAGTGGCTCTCTGCAGACTTTGCCCAGGAACGCCGCTGGAAACGGGGTGTAGCCCGTAAGGTACATCTTTCAGATCCACCTCCTATTTCCCTCTTAGGTTTGACTTCACATGATGAGTGGGCTGGTTCAAAGGGAACTGATTTGTATAGAGTGCTAAATGATTCCAATAGGCTCAAAGAGGCAAGCTTCTTACTTCCCAGGTCTCTTGACTTTGATTGTTTCTTTGTCCTTGGCCCAGAGGGATTCTGGCCTTGGAATGTTTTTACCCTAGGTCCTCTCATTCCCACAGGTGGTGCGCATGGTGATCCGACACCATGAGGAACAGCGGCAGAAAGAAGAGCGGGCCCGTAGGGAGGAACAGGCCAAGCTGCGCCGAATTGCCTCCACCATGGCCAAGGATGTCAGACAGTTCTGGAGCAATGTGGAGAAGGTAGGCAGCAGGGATTGGGAAAGGGAAATGGTGGAGTGGCCTTGGCTTAGGTTGGTGGGTGCAGGAATGACCAAAACTTCTGGAGGGAGTGAATACAATGACTTGAACTCTAATGGTATTTTTGTTGTGCATTGGATCTTTCCAGTGTTGAGTACTGTGGAGTAAAAAGAAATACAGTAGAAAAATACGAGCCCTGTTTTTAGAGATGTAAAGATTCCTTTATCTCCTATAGGCCATGTGTCCTTTACAAGGCATTCAGTATGTATCTTAAAACTGGTGTCTTTGCCAGTTACTTTCCCATTGCCTATCTACACACACTAAGTTGCAATGATTTCTCAAATATTAGCTGCCTATGTTTTCAGTCATATCTTCTGCCACTTTATTTCCTGCTCTCACTTTAAACATGCCTTTGTTTTGGACTTCCATGACCATTTATATGTTCTTTCTGTTGCTGGGAATGCCTTTTTTTCCTCATTTCCACTTAGGGATTGCCTATATATTAAAACTTAGCTACAGATACACCTACAGATGTTTCCAGCTGCTTGAGGGTAAGCTGGTTCTTCTCCGTGTGTTTCTTGGTGCTTTCCTCAAAAAAATACCTATTAGAATTGGGGGCCTTTTAAGGACATTTATGTTAGTTTTTTTCTCTTAAAAGATCTGACAGAAGCTCTCTAAGTGTTTGGTGAAAGTATGTGTCTTAAGTTATGTCTGTTTAAGTTGTATGCCTTCAAATCAGTTCCAACTCATAGCGACCCTGTATAGAGTTTCCCAGAGCATCTGATGGATTTGAACTGCTGGACTTGTGGTTAGCAGTCCAGTACTTATCCTGTAGTGCCACACCAGGGTTCCTTAGTTACCTAGTGCTGCTATAACAGAAATATCACGGGTGTGGCTTTAGCAAACAAAATCTTTTATTCCCACAATATATGAGGCTCGAAGTCCGAATATAAGGGGCCAGCTCTAGGAAGGCTTTTACTGTTGGGTTTTGGGGGAAGGTCCTTGTCACTTCAGCTTGTTTCCTGGTTCCTTGGAGATTTCCATGTGACTTGGCATCACTCTTACCCCATCTCTGCTTATTTTCTGTTACATGTCAAAAGAGATTAACTCCAGACACATTTTATGCTGAGCATGCACTTGTTAACATAGCAAGGACTCCATTCCCAAATGGGTTTATAACCACAGAGAGAGATTAGGATTTGCAATATGTTTTTGGAGGATGTAATTCAGTCCTTAACAGTACATAGTGATTATTATGGATCTTTTCATGCTTCCGGTAGGTGGTGCAGTTCAAGCAACAATCTCGGCTCGAAGAAAAGCGCAAAAAAGCTCTGGATCTGCACCTAGACTTCATTGTGGGACAAACGGAAAAGTACTCGGACCTTCTGTCACAGAGCCTCAACCAGCCTTTAGCCTTCAGCAAAGCTGGCTCCTCCCCTTGCCTTGGCTCTTCCCACACTGGCTCAGCTGCTTCCAGTCCTCCTCCCCCTGCTTCCCAACTGGATGATGAAGGTGTGTGTGCTTTTTGGTTTTGCTACTCTTTCCCATATACCCTTTCCAGAGCTGAAAACCCACCCTGTGGCTTGCAGGGCCCCGTGGACTTTGTGACCTTGTTCTCCTGCTATAGATGGGGACTTCCAACCCCAAGAGGAGGAAGAGGATGATGAAGAGACGATTGAAGTTGAAGAACAACAGGAAGGCAATGATGCAGAGACCCATAGACGTGAGATTGAGCTGCTTCAGCGTGAGGGTGAACTGCCACTGGAAGAGCTGCTCCGCTCTCTGCCCCCTCAGCTGCTAGGAGGGCCTTCCAGTCCCTCGCAAACCCTCTCATCTCATGATAGTGATGCCCAAGATGAGCCTGAAGAAGGTGGTGAAGAAGAGCCCTCTCCAGTGCTTAAGGTACAGACAGAAGGGGCAAGGGGAGGACTTTCAGAGTACAGGCAGAAGGGGCACGGGGAGGACTTAGGGTGGGAGCATAGGAGGAGGTTCATGATCTCAGAAGTCCTGTCTGATTCAGGAAATTGGACTCTGGTTGGGAATGGGTAGGGAAGAATCGTGAGTTTGGGGCAAGTTGTAGTCTGAGATAGGCAAGAGTTTCTGGTGCTGGAGAAGAATATACAGTTCTTTAAATTGATGTCTGACTTCTCTGGCCCTTACTTGCCATTTCTGTGAAATAGCCATAATACATCCTTATTGACTTACAGGTTGGGAGCTGGAATGATAATCTTGAAGTCTCTTCTAGGTATAAGCTCTCCATTTGTCCATGCGTCTGAGTGCATGGGGATGGTGTTGGGGGATATCTTGTTATCAAGCACTTTCATAGGTCCTCCCCCAGGCTTTGGGGCCAGGATTTGGTATCTGGTGCAGAGACAAAACCCTTGGTTGTATCCTTGTCTTGGGACTGTGCCCGTGGCAGCTGTCAACCAATGGGACAAAAAGATGGTTCTCTGGCATATCTTTCATTATCATCCCTTTTTCTTGCTGTTTTAACTTAAGGCTCTTCCCTTTTCCATCTTTTGCCATTTAGGGGAAGCGCCCACTTTCATCTGTCACACAGTGCAACAGCCAGCCTTGGCATCCAGATGAAGATGATGAAGAGTTTACTGCCAATGAGGATGAAGGTTAGGCTTCTTCACTTCATCCTCTGTACCTTGACCCCTTGGATTGTTTGGACCTAACCTGTCAGACTGTTTCAGTTCTTCTACTTGGATGTTGTCCTGTGCCTTTATCACCACTAATTAATCCTGCTTCATACATTTCATTCTCTTTTCTAGCGGAGGATGAAGAAGACACCATAGCAGCTGAGGAGCAGTTGGAGGGGGAGGTGGATCATGCCATGGAGCTGAGCGAGTTGGCTCGAGAAGGTGACATTGACCAGTGATTTATTGAGCATCCACTTAGTGTCTACCCTGTGCAGAGTGCTGAAGGAAGAGAGACGAATGATATTCCTGATCTAACAGCAAAGACAGATTTATGAGTGAATCATTATAAGTAGAATGTGATGAATGCTTATCATAAGATTTTGGTTTTATCGTGGTAGCATTGGTAGTATTTAACCTGCACTTTGAAAAAGAGGTTTGTTAGGTTGATTTAAGTTCCTCCCAGGGATAGGAAGCACCTCTCAGCTCTAACCTGGCTTGTGGGGCTTGGTTTTGTTAGCTGGTGCTGAAAGTTAACACTTGTCTCTCCTCAGGTCAGTCTAATTTAGTGTGAATTATTGTTAAGTGCCATTGAGTCAGTTCTGAATCATTGCAACTCTGTATAGGGTTTCCACAGAGCATTTGGTGAGTTTGAACTGCCAACCTTGCAATTCAAACCAACCTTACACTCCAGCACATTAACCCACAGCGCTACACCAGGACTCTTTAGTGTGTATAGGGACATAGATAAAGTGAAACCCCACTCCCACCCCTCATCCCTGGAAACACCTGAAGCTTACCTTGCATTTCTCTTCCAGGAGAGCTGTCTATGGAGGAGCTACTGCAGCAGTATGCAGGGGCCTATGCTTCTGATACCTCTGCCCCAGGCTCTGGGAGCAGTGAGGAGGAAGAAGAAGAGGGTGAGGCTCTCAGCTCTGACTGTGAACCAGAGGAAGGCACAGAAGCTGCAGATGCTCCTCAGGATGATAGTAGCAGTCAGTCAGGTGACTGTGTGATCATGAGGCAGGAGCTGGGGAGAGCAGGCAGTGGAGGAAGACGTATGGTCAACCATAAACCTTCTTGTGCTTTAGACTCTGTTGAGGAGCAGAGCGAGGATGAGGAAGATGAGCATTCAGAGGAGGAAGAAACAAGTGGGAGTTCAGACTCAGAGGAATCAGAGTCTGAGGATTCTGAGGAGACCCAATCACAGAGTCAAGCAGATGAGGAAGATGATGACGACTTTGGGGTGGAGTACCTGCTTGCCAGAGATGAACACAGTGAGGTAGATGGGGGCAGTGGGCCTCCTACTCCAGGACCCACCACCACTCTAGGCCCTAAGAAAGAAATTACTGATATTGCTGCAGCCGCTGAAAGTCTCCAGCCCAAGGGTTATACCTTGGCCACTACCCAGGTATCCTCAGGCCCCAGCTCCTGTTCTCTTACATCTTGATTTTGCTGTGTCCTGATGGCAGATGCCTCAGCTCCATAGTGACACCTCTTTTCCTTCCTACCAGGTTAAGACACCTATCCCCCTACTGCTGCGGGGCCAGCTCCGCGAGTACCAACACATTGGATTGGACTGGCTGGTTACTATGTATGAGAAGAAGCTTAATGGCATTCTTGCTGATGAGATGGGGCTGGGCAAGACCATCCAGACAATCTCTCTGCTTGCTCACTTGGCCTGTGAGAAAGGTAACTTAGCAGGACCTTCCGTCACGAGCCCCCTTGGCCAACTCCCTTGGGAATTTGTTTAGTGGACCAGTCGCTAGAGAAGGATACCATGTTTGGTTAAGGTGGAGGGTCAGAGAAAACGACATGGGTTGGCCAAGTGGCCGCATCGATAGACTCAAGCGTGGCAACAGTAGTGAGATTGGCCCAGTATCAGGCAGTGTTTCGTTCTGCTGTGCATAAGGTCACTATGGGTCGGTACTGACTTGATGGCACCTAACAACAACAGCAACAGCCACGGGATGGTGAACTATGCACTGTCTTCCTGCTCGCCTAGTAGTGTCACTACTTAGTAACTATATACAGAGGTCAACATACGTGCTAGGCTTCTTGTTGTTAAGGGCTGTCAAGTCAGTTCTGACTCATAGCAACCCTGTATAGGGTTTTTGAGGAACGGCTGGTGAGCTGGAACCACTGACCTTGCAGTTCAAACCAACGTTGCAGTCCAGCACACCAGGACTCTAGGCTTCTCAGGGAGGGCCATTAGAAGGACAGGATCATCATGATTATACTTGAGGAACCAGAACCACCAAGTTGTGCTTCTTTAACTCTTTGTCCTTTTTTTTGCTAAACAGGTAACTGGGGTCCCCATTTGATAATCGTCCCTACTAGTGTGATGTTGAACTGGGAGATGGAGTTGAAGCGTTGGTGTCCCAGCTTTAAAATCCTCACTTATTATGGAGCCCAGAAAGAGAGGAAGCTTAAGCGCCAGGTTTGACCCTTCATTAGTCACTTTTTCTTGATTAATCTCATAAATTTATTAGGTCTTCAGATCAGTTTCTTCCTCTCCTCTTTCTGTTGCTTGATTCTCCCCTGGGGCTTTTTCTTTTCTCTTAACCTGGTTTCTGCCCCTTTCTTTTCTTTTCATTCCACTGTCTGCTACTCTCTCTTTGGTCTCTCAGGGATGGACCAAGCCCAATGCCTTCCATGTGTGTATCACATCTTACAAGTTGGTGCTGCAGGACCACCAGGCCTTTCGGCGCAAGAACTGGCGCTATCTCATTTTGGATGAGGCTCAAAACATCAAGAACTTCAAGTCACAGCGATGGCAGTCACTGCTCAATTTCAACAGGTACAGATGGGATAGGGATGTATGGGAAGATTGACTGGCCTAGAAAGTGGGCTGCCTGGGTTGAGTATATCCATGCTGGGACCGTGCACACCATATTTTTCTAATTCCCTGCTATCTTTTTCAGCCAGAGGCGCTTGCTCCTGACAGGGACTCCCTTGCAGAACAGCCTCATGGAGCTGTGGTCCTTGATGCACTTTTTGATGCCTCATGTCTTCCAGTCTCATCGTGAATTCAAGGAGTGGTTCTCTAATCCCTTAACTGGCATGATTGAGGGCAGCCAAGAGTATAATGAAGGGCTAGTCAAACGCCTCCACAAGGTACTTTCTGTTTTTTATCCAGGGTACTTTTTGTTGTGTTGTTATTGTTGATAAGATACAGAGCAAAACATAACACCAGTTCAGCAACTTTTTAGTGACATTGACTACATTCTTTGAGTTGTGCAACCATTTTTCACTCTCCTTTTCTGAGTTCTTCATTAACATGACTTACCACCCATAAAGGTTTCTTTCTCATCTCTGCAATTGCTGTTGAAAATTGGGTCCCAAAAGTAGTGTCCCGGGTATTACAATGGCAAAGAACTAAGGGCAATGTATCTAAAAAGGCCTACAAGGAGCAGAAGTCAGCACTAGGTTATTCTCAGCCTGTTGTCAAGCTGCAGTGTTCCCAGTGACTCACTCATCTCCAAATTGAGTTTACCTCCTCATCGTAGTCCTCGTTACATTTTTTTTTTTATTGGTGATGTTTCTGTGCTTAACCCTTTTTTTGAAGAGAATACTGTTGATCATTTCCTACTTGGGTTTCTCTGTAGTTTGGTTTCCTCACTGTATAGTTTTTGATTTGCCTGTGCATGCATATACTCATGTGCTGTCTCTCACTCCCCTCTTTTCTTTGGTATTCTCTGGCTCCTCCTCTTTTGCCCAGTTTTTTAATGGTAGCATCTCTTAGGACTCTGATCTTCCTTTTTTTAAAAAAAAAAAATTGCAATTGAATGATTGTGCTGTTCATTCCTAAGGGCTGCCTTTGTGATAATGACTCTAATTTGTATTTTCAGTCCCTTGACTCTCTTACCACTCAGCCTGTATTTTAAATTTCTGGCTTGATATCATCAATTGAAAATTTCCCTTGAACTCCCTCTGTCCTAAGCCACATGCATCTGGCTTTTGAGCCTATCATTTTTATCCCATCTTGGTCATTCTTACTGTCAATTTGGTAAGCCCAGCTAGAAGCTGTCCTTCATTTCCACCCTTTCCTTCACTTCTTCAATGTCCACTTACTGACTGTTCTATCAGGCTTTGCCTTAAGATTTCAGTTTACCCTTTGTTTTCTGTTCTACTGTGACTACTCCAGTTTTTGTTCTTAATACTTCCCTAAAGGATTCACTGTCGTGATTTTGTAAACTTTCTACTCTTTGGAATGTACTCTACATCACCTCTCCTGCAGAGCTAGTATTTGTGCTCTCAGTCCCGCCATGTGTCACTTTTTAGGTTGTGCTGTGCCTCCCTCTGTACTTGGTCCAGACTCATCTTTGTGTGCTTGAATCTGGCAGGCTACATAGCTGCATGAGTGTTTACTGATTGGCAAGAAGCCTGTTACTGTGCTGAGATCCAACTAAATTCTCTTCTCATAGCTTCCTGCTTATTTGCTTGTAGGTTTTGCGGCCCTTTTTGCTACGCAGAGTTAAAGTGGATGTTGAGAAGCAGATGCCCAAGAAGTATGAGCATGTTATCCGCTGCCGGCTTTCCAAGCGCCAACGCTGTCTCTATGATGACTTCATGGCACAGACCACGTAAGAAAGGGCTGAGGGTGAACCCCTGGGGTCTTTGATTACAGCAGAGGTGACTGTCAAAAAAGCCCATTTATTTTTCCTCTTTCTGTAGAACTAAGGAGACACTTGCTACAGGTCATTTTATGAGCGTCATCAACATTTTGATGCAGCTTCGTAAAGTCTGCAATCACCCAAACTTATTTGACCCTCGGCCTGTTACCTCTCCTTTCATCACCCCAGGCATCTGCTTCAGCACTGCCTCTCTGGTGCTGCGGGCTACTGATGTCCACCCCCTCCAGGCAAGTAGTTGCCCTCAAGGTTAGTTCTTAAGACTTTTGCTTGTTCCAGTGATTAACTCAACACTATTCTCCTAGCTTTCTCGTTTTCTAGTCAGGTGACTTTAGGCAAGATAATTATTAATCTCTAACCCTAGGTTTCCTTGCTCTTCAAAATAAGGATTATAAATCCTATTTCTGCAGTGTGTGTAGTAATTAAGTATTTTTGCAAGTGCCAAGACCTATACTCGGCTTAGTAGGTATTTAGTAAAAACTGTTTTGTTTTCCTACCTTTCTCTATTTGATTGCTTTTGAACCCATGCATTTGTTTTTATTCTTGTGGCAGCGGATAGACATGGTCCGGTTTGACCTTATTGGCTTGGAGGGTCGTGTCTCACGATACGAGACTGACACCTTTCTGCCCCGGCACCGTCTTTCCCACCGGGTACTGCTAGAGGTGGCAACTGCTCCGGACCCCCCACCCCGGCCTAAGCCAGTCAAAATGAAGGTCAACAGGTACCAGGGCTGAGGATTAAGGGGTGGGGGGACCCAAATAGCTGGCTGGAGGGGATGAGGTAGAAAGGAAAGAGACTAGGCTAGATTGTGTGTATGGAGTGAGTTCAAAGTACTATGTTATTGTTGTTAAGTGCTGTCGAGTCTGTTCCAACCCATAGCGACCCTGTATAGGGTTTCCGAGGAGTGACTGGTGCGCTTGAACCGCCAACCTTGCAGTTTAAATGGCTGTGCAGTCTGGCGCATTAACCTATAACGTCAGGGTGATAATTAGAAGAAGGGTCCTGGGAGGGGACACTGGGTCTGTCACGGATTTTTCTTTCCTTACCCTTTGCTTAGTGCTTTCTGAATAGCTTTGATTTCTGTCTTTTGGCTCTCTTTTCTTTTTTCCCTTTTGCTCTTGCAATTTTTGTCTTTTACCTTTTTTTCCTTCTTTTCATGCTTCCTCTCTATACCTATAATTTTTTTTTTCATAGGATGCTACAGCCAGTGCCCAAGCAAGAAGGCCGGACAGTGGTGGTGGTGAACAGCCCGCGGACACCCCTGGGACCTGTCCCAGTCCGACCCCCTTCAGGCCCTGAACTCTCAGCTCAGCTGACCCCTGCCTCAGTCCCCCCAGTACTGCCAGCACCACTCATGGTGTCGGCCTCTACCACTGGGCCCCCACTTATTCCAGCATCCCGGCCCCCTGGCCCTGTTCTGTTGCCCCCGCTGCAGCCAACCAGTGGTCCCCTCCCTCAGGGTGAGTTATAAGGGAACTAGGATGCTGGGATAATTCAGGAAAATTGTTCAGGTTGTGGAAGAGGCAACAAAATGAGAGGTTCTAAGGGGCTGAATTTGGGGACACAAGTGGTGTTTGATGAAATAGAAAGGAGGATGGAGTCTTTTGGGGTCAGTAAAACCTCTAAGCAAGATGCTTTTTACCAGCATTTGTTTTGTGTTGACAGTGTTGCCGTCTCCTTTAGGAGTCCTGGGTGGGACCTCACGGCCTCCCATGCCAACGCTGTCCCTGAAGTCAGCTCCACCTGCCCCAGTTCGCCTCAGCCCAGCTCCAACCCCAGGCTCCTCCAGTCTGTTAAAGCCCCTAACTGTGCCACCTGGCTATACCTTCCCTCCTGCTGCTGCCACCACCACTTCTGCCACCACTGCCACTGCCACCACCACAACAGTGCCAGCTTCAGCCCCCGCACCACAGCGCCTCATCTTGACTCCTGATATGCAGGCTCGCTTACCCTGTAAGTTCCCAGATCTCTGGTAAGGAATTGGAGATGGGAGAAAGGCTTACATGCCAAGGAGTAGGAGAATAAAAGCTTAGGAATATTAGAACATCAACTTTTAGGTAACTAACAGGTATTTTGCCAACATTAATAATTCATAATCAAGTTGTTGCTGTTGAGTCGGTTCCAACCCATAGTGACCCCGTATAGGGTTTTTGATGAGCGGCTGGTAAGCTTGAACTGCCAACCTTGCAGTTCAAACGGCTTTGCAGTCTGGCGCATTAACCCACAGCGCCACACCAGGACTCTTCATAATCAATTAAGAAACTTCAAAGAGTTCAGAGTTTATCGTAACAAAGCCCTGGTGGTGCATTGGGATAAGAGCTGGGCTATAATCACAAAATTGGCAGTTCAAATCCATCTAGTGCTCCATGAGAGAAAGATGAGACTGTCTGCTTCCGTAAAGATTTACAGTCTAAAATACTCTAAGGAGCGGTTCTACTCTTGTCCTATAGGGTCACTGAGTTGGAGCCGACTTGATGTCTAGCATATTATTTGGGGTATAATAGGAGGAGGGGTTGATAATTAGGTCATTTTGATAAGATGGTTGGCTGTTACAGGTTGTAAAGAAGGTTGCTAAGCAAATAAGTAGAATTGGAAGTAGTAGTGTGTGAAAGGCTCAAAGGCTATGTAAATAATGGCAGTGTTTAGTATTGGGCAGTAGAAGTGCTGAAGGAGAAGGGAGATTTGTGGGGGGGTGGGGGAGAAGAGCATGTTTTTAAGGACCTGGGAGGTAGTCTTGAGCAGAGTGAGTGCTGTGCTCAGTAAGGCTCTTCTTTGTTTACAGCAGGTGAAGTGGTCAGCATTGGACAGTTGGCCTCTCTGGCTCAGCGTCCACTGGCTAGCACGGGGGGAAGCAAACCTCTCACCTTCCAAATCCAGGGCAACAAGCTGACTTTGACTGGTGCCCAGGTGCGCCAGCTTGCTGTGGGGCAGCCCCGCCCGCTGCAAAGTAGGTAAAACCCACCCCCTGTCCTGCCTTTTTCCTCCTCTTCCTGTTCCTTTGTTTTTGTGGCTCTTCCTTTTTAGATGTCAGCCTTTATGTTTGCTTCACCAGCTTGGGCTGGGGGGTCAGAGGGGGTAAAGAGAGGGGAGAAATCATTCTAGCGAAGTTGTCCCCTCTCTTCTCTTACCTCTCACCTTTGCCTCTCCCCGGCCCTGGCTGATAGCTGCTTCTCTCTCTCTCTCTCTCTCTTCCCTTAACCCAGGGAATGTGGTGCACCTGGTGTCAGCTGGGGGGCAGCACCACCTCATCAGCCAGCCTGCCCATGTGGCCCTCATCCAGGCCGTGGCCCCGACCCCTGGCCCTTCCCCTGTCTCTGTGCTGCCTTCTTCGACCCCCAGCACCACCCCTGCCCCTACTGGTCTCAGCCTTCCACTTGCTGCTAACCAGGGTGAGGCTCATGGCCTTCCTACTTACTTAGCCCCTTGCTGGCCTTGGTCCTTCCAGGCATTTCCTGGGCTGCTGTCTGTCCAGCATTCCTTCAGTGTTGCTTTTCGCCTTGCCAATATCACTGCTGTCTGTCTATCACCCTTTCCTGCCCCTGGACTACTTCCATCCTTTGGGTCTCTTGTTTCTTTTCTACCTTTCCCTCAATGTAGCTTCCTCTTGCAGTGCCACCAACCATGGTGAATAATACAGGCGTGGTGAAGATTGTAGTGAGACAGGCCCCTCGGGATGGACTGACTCCTGTTCCTCCATTGGCCCCAGCACCCCGGCCTCCAAGCTCTGGGCTTCCAACTGTGTTGACGCCACGGCCCACATTAGCCCCTGGACGGCTACCCACATCTGCTCTGGGTACTTCCCGGGCCCCCCTACCCACATCTACTCTGGTGAGGCCACTTCTCAAGCTGGTTCACAGTCCTTCACCTGAAGTCAGTGGTGAGTCCAGTTGGCTGAGGCCAAATATTTTTGTTAGGAATGGAGATGGGTGGTCTTGAGGTTTTCTCAGTCACGTTAAATGCCTTTATTATCCACATACTGCCTTGATTGGCAGTGGACCCCAGAACTGGGCTGCTCAACCTGGCCTAAATCCAAGATAAATTTATTGGAACTTTGGAAAGAAAGTAAATGTTTAGATTTCAGAGTACTTGTACCTTCAACATCATGATGTGGGTAACATGCAAAGCTTGGTAGTAGGGTCAAGGGTGGGACAGGTTAGTAGAAAGAACAGAGAAAGAATTCTTGGGCTAACTTATCCTCTGTTTCCACAGCTTCAGCACCCGGAGCTGCTCCCTTGTCCATCTCTTCCGTCACTGGGCCAGCTTCTTCTCCAATGCCGGTTCCTAACTCCTCTCCCCTTGTTAGTCCTGTGTCCTCCACGGTCCCAGCTCCAGTCTCATCTTCACTCCCCATCTCTGTTTCTACCACACTTTCTGTGCCAGCTTCAGTTCCACTCACCATTCCAATCTCAGCCCCTTTACCTGTTTCGGCTTCGGGCTCAGCTCTGTTGACCACTGTGACTCCAACACTGGCACCTGTTGTCTCAGCGGTTCCTGGACCTCCCTCTTTGGCACCAACTGGGGCGTCCCCATCAGCGTCAACCTTGACTCTAGGTTTGGCAACAACTCCATCCCTGTCCTCATCTCAGGCACCTAGTCACCCCCTGTTGTTGGCTCCCACCTCTTCACATGTTCCAGGGTTGAACTCAGCTGTGGCCCCAGCATGCTCACCGGTCCTGGTGCCAGCTTCAGCTCTGGCCAATACTTTTCCGGCAGCATCAAACCCAGCCTCAGCTCAGGCTTCCCTTCTGGCTCCAGCACCTTCTGCATCTCAGGCTCCCATGGCGGCTCCACAGACAGCAATCCTGGCTTCTTCTCCAGCTCCCCTGGCTCCTCTTCCAGTCCTGGCTCCATCGCAGACACCAATTCCAATCTTGGCTCCATCATCTACTTCAGGAACCCCTTTAGCATCCACTTCTTCACTGCTGCCAGCTTCATCTCCTGTGTTGGCTCCCTCATCAACTCAGACTATGGTACCAGCCCCAGTTCCGTCACCTCTCCCAAGCCTGGCTTCTACACAAACGCTGGCCCTAGCCCCAGCTTTAGCATCTACTCTTGGTGGCTCATCTTCATCTCAGACACTCTCTTTGGGAACAGGGAACACCCCCCAGGGACCCTTTCCAGCTCAGACATTGTCATTGACTCCAGCTGCATCCCTCGTACCAGCGCCAGCCCAGACACTCTCGCTGGCACCAGGGCCACCACTGGGTCCAGCTCAAACACTCTCTCTGGCTCCAGCTTCTCACACGTTGACTTTGGCTCCAGCATCGTCATCAGCTTCACTCCTGGCCCCAGCTTCAGTGCAAACATTGACCTTGAGCCCACCCCCAGTTCCGGTGCCTACCTTGGGCCCAGCTGCAGCCTCAATACAGGCCCCCACTTCCCAGTCATCTTCCCTTGTGGTTTCGGCATCTGGTTCCGCTCCCTTGCCTGTCACCATGGTATCCCGGCTGCCTCTTCTCAAGGATGAGCCTGAGACACTGACATTACGATCTGGTCCCCCCAGCCCTCCCTCCAGTGCTACCTCGTTCAGTGGCCCTCGGCCTCGACGCCAGCCCCCACCACCACCACGGTCCCCTTTCTATCTGGTAAGTTGTATTCCCTCAAAGAAGGAGGAACAGGAATTTGAGTTTTGTTGGAGTGTGGGTGGGGTAGGGTGGATGAAGTCTAGTGTAGTAGATCAAGTACTTGACTAACATTGGGCAAGTCACTTCTCGGCCCTAGGCCTGTGCCCTTATCTATAAAATGGGAATATCTTCATCATAGGGGTAACTCAGGACCATCACTGAATATTCCAAGGGAAGGATTACACCGAAGGATAAAAATAAACCCAAATGCATTGCCATAAAATCAATTGGGATTCATTGTAACCCTAATGGACAGACTAGAGCTGCCCCGGAAGGTTTCCAATGCTGTAATCTTGACAGACGCATACGTCTACATCTTTGTATCATGGAGCAACTGGTGGGTTCAAACTGCCAACCTTTTGGTTAGCTGCCAAGTGCATAACCACTATGCCACCAGGGCTCCCCTACCATGCAATTTAGTTCATAAGGATCATAAGCTTTACTAATCACCTCTCCTAGTTCATCTTGGATAAGTAGGCAAAACACAGAACTCTTGTTTCCTGATCCTTCTTGAGCTCCTGGGAGCTTTTTTTTTTCCTGTTCTTATTCATGGAGTGGTGCTATAGGATAGACACTAGAGTGTTAACCACAAGGTTGACAGTTGAAACTCACCACCACCTCCTTGGAAACAGTGTATAGGGTAGCTATGAGTTGGAACTGATGCTACAGCACTTAATAGCAAAACAGCACAGGGAGGTGGAAAACCATAGTCCCTACTCAATTTCAGTTGATCTGCAGGTAGGTGGCAACTGTTTTTCAAAAATAGCTTTAATGGAATAGAATTTATGCAGCATACATATTATGTTTTTAAACATGTACAGTTCAGTGGCTTTTAGTGTATTCATCGTGTTGCAGTTGTTGACTACCATCAGGTTGGCCCTAGATGAACTATAAGTCCATTTACAGAAAGATCTGACCATTACCGTTGATTTTATTCATTGACAAATTCTTGGAACTAGATCGCCATGCCTGTCTCCTAGTCCTTCTTAGTCTGGAAGCTCTGTGGAGAACTTCTGTTAACACTATGTAATCCTCCTCTAACAAGTGATGGCTGTATCTGAGGTGATTTGGCCACCTGGTCTCACTCACGGAAGGACAAAGATTTTACTACTAAGGATTTTACTGAGCCACCAATGCCCTCTGTAATCATTACCATTAATGTTTCCATCAACCCAAAAAGAGATTGTACTATCAAACGGTCACACTATCTTCATACTTTATCCTTACCCCAAGGCAACCACCAGTCTACTTTTATTGGGTATAGATTTGCCTATTTAGACATTTGCTATAAAGGTAATTGTTCATCATGTGGTCTTTTGTGACGGTTTTTTCACCTACCTAGCAATGAAATGAGGTCCCTTGAATCAGTTCAACTCCGTAACAGTAATATTTTTGGAATCCTTTCATGTTTTAGCCTTAACGCTTAATGATAACAACAACAATGGCCAGTGATGTTGAATTGAGCAATCTTTTATGTGTCTTTGGCTATTTTATGGGGTTTTTTTGGAGAAAGTCTCTTCAGTTCCTATGTCCATTTTTACATTGAGTCGTATCTCTTTATTATTGAGTTGTGAGAGTTATAAAGTCATTTTTCAGATATGTGATATGTAAACATTTTCTCCCTTGCCACCACTTTTTAAAACCAGCCTGTATTGGTTTTCCCCTTTGCTAGGATACTCCTTCCTCACCTGGAGCACCAGGAGCCAAGAGGTCAAGCTGAAGGTAGCAGTCAGGAAGGGAGACTTGGAACACTGCTTTCTCAGGACCCTTCCCTGGGGTCCAGTCTCTCATTAATAATTCTATTAATAATTTTTTGAGAGCTTCCTCTGTGTCAGACACTAAGCTAGAATACTGAGTTATAATCAAAGCAAAATCAAAGATGATAAACATTATATGGAGCCTACAATTTAGTGGAAAGAAGGTATTAAATAATCACATACATGTAAAACTCTAAATGGGATAAAATCTTAAGCTATACAAATGTGATAAAGGGAGTCATGGGGACTTATAGATAGTGAAACAAGGAAGCACAGAGGTGAGAAGGGATTGGGTTAAAGTCATAACAGGTTTCCTAGCTGCTAGGGAGCTCTCCATTGATGAGACCTGTATGTGTGGTTAGCTGTTCCTTTCCTAACCCACCCCTGTCTGGCCCTTGGCAGAAACCTGCCATAATTTGATTAGCTCCTCTGTCTTTTATTCAGCTTTGTGGAGCAGTTTTCCAATAATTGTTTTGGACCCACCCAACAAGATAATTAACTTTGATGTTCTGGAGCTAAGTGTTGCATAGGAAAATTCCTGCAGATCCTCCATTTATAAGCTTATTGGATATGCAGGCCTTCATTTTATCATTGTGATGGGAATGATGCTCATTATTGACAACTTCAACGTCAAAAGACATACTTTTGAATTTTATGGTTTCCATAGATTGTATGTGTTCCATCTGAGAGGAATTGTCAGGTTTTCTAAGGCTTTGATATGAACTTTGAAGACACTGATTGCATTCTCTGTGTGTTTTTTTTTTCTCATCGCTAGGATTCTCTGGAGGAAAAACGGAAGAGGCAGCGATCTGAACGTCTGGAACGGATTTTCCAACTTAGCGAGGCTCATGGGGCCTTGGCACCTGTGTATGGGACTGAAGTGCTGGATTTCTGTACCCTGCCCCAACCTGTTGCCAGTCCCATCGGCCCTCATGCTCTTGGTCCCAACCATCCTACTTTTTGGACTTTTACCGAGGCTGCCCGCAGGGCTGTTCTGTTTCCCCAGCAACGACTAGACCAGCTGTCAGAAATCATTGAGAGGTTGGCAGGGCTTAAGTGCTAACAGAAAATGGGTCTGGGGGTCTCACAGTGAATATAGTAGTGAGGTCTGCTGAAAGTTTTAGCTTTGGGGGCCTTTCAGAGTCCCATCTTTTTACACTACTTGCCTTCTGCCTTCCACAGGTTCATCTTTGTCATGCCTCCTGTGGAGGCACCTGCCCCTTCCCTACATGCCTGCCACCCACCTCCTTGGCTGGCCCCACGTCAGGCAGCCTTCCAGGAGCAATTGGCCTGTGAGCTCTGGCCCCGGGCTCGTCCTTTACACCGTATTGTGTGTAACATGCGCACCCAGTTCCCTGACTTGAGGCTCATTCAGTATGATTGTGGTGAGTTCATTGGTCAGTGGTAAGACCTGTGATATCAGAGGGTTTCTGTGGATATCAGTAAAGCATCAGGTGGTATATTTTAGGTTATACTTAGGGTAAGATGGAAAAATGGCCTTATGATTCTTAGCATTCATGGGTTTCATTTTAATGAAAGTTGAAACTGTGTGCCACTGACTCATTTATTCTCTCATTAGATCATGAACATCTTGATACATTTTGCTAGAATCATTAGGGATACAATGATGAACAAGATAGCATAGCAGAGTTATCAGATTTATGAAGAAAGGTGTATGATGATACAAAACTACAGAATAAATACAAAATTTTTATTTGGGAAAAAACAAGGACCTTTGTATTGATTAGAATTCATTTGGCAGCAAGTAAAAACCAAAAAGCAAAACTAAACATTGACTTAAACCACAAGGACATTTTTTGATAATGAGAGTGTTGGGCTGGTTCATCAGCTTGATGTTTCAAAAGACATAGGACCGTTCTATCCATTCTGCCTGCTACCCTTAGCTTTTATCTTTTTTATCCTGTTTATTTTCTAATGCTCTCAAGATGACTGACTTCCTTAGCTCCAAGGAACACACCAGTGCATGAAGCAAGAGGGATTTGCTTTATGTGTTTCCTTGAAAGGAAAACTGTTCCAGCAGGCTTTGCTTCACAATTCATTGGCTCAACTGGGCTATATGCCCATCTCTAGGTCAGTCACAGAGGGGCTGGCAAAGAGGAATTGAGACCAATCAAAATTCATCTTCTGGGGCTTGGTTTGGGCCTGCCTTCCCTGTAATCAGGGGCTCTCTGCCAACTGCCCATAAAGTTAATTAGCTTCTGTTAACCAAGAATAGCTGTTACAGTAGTAAATAATTTCTTCTACAATCCTGCCCAGACATTTTTATCATAACATGCTTAGAGATTTACAAAAGAAATGTTTTAACAAAAGAAAATTAGGGGAAATTTAAATTCAGATCAGTTTAGTAAATATTTTACTAAAAAAATTCTTGCTGAAAACCTTTCAAAATAAATGATAAGCTGCCTGCCTTTATCAGTCATTTCTGTGTTTGATGGCAAGCTTGACCAGCTGGATAACCTCTTTAGATTCTATCTGATTCTCTGGATCTTATCTATGACCTAAATCTCTGTTAGCTATGGCCACAGAGTTGATTGATCTGTGTCCTGTGATTCTTCTGTGTTTCTGCTGGTATGATTATTGCAGTATGTACAGATCTCTAGGTCATAAACTGTTGAGTAGTATGTTTTTCCCTCTTGAGGGTCTTTATAAGGGGGCTTCAAAAAGTTTGTGGAAAATTCCATTGTTTATATGAAATTCTGAAGCTTCCTCGTATTGTCCTACCTCTCGTTATACAGGGTTGCTGAGTGGGAACCGACTTCACAGCACTTAACAAGATGTTAGACTCAGAGAACCCTTAGGGGTTAACTCCACTTAACAGTGGAGTTAAGTATTGTTGATCCCCTAGGCTAACTGAAACCCTGGCCCAAAGCCTAGTTTACATTTTACTCAGAACCATCCAGTGTTAAGTGATCTGATCATAGATTCTTCTATGTATCTCTTTATATCTCTTCAGGAAAGTTGCAAACCTTGGCAGTGCTGCTGAGGCAGCTCAAGGCAGAGGGCCACCGGGTGCTTATTTTCACTCAGATGACCCGAATGCTGGATGTATTGGAGCAGTTCCTCACCTACCATGGTCACCTCTACTTACGTCTGGATGGATCTACAAGAGTTGAGCAGAGACAGGTATTCAGACATCTGCAGCCCTTGGATGCTTGCCCTAACTTCTACCTTTTTCTCCCAGGCCTCAAGCTCACAGAAGGGGCCCGCTAAGCCTTGAGTTTCTGGGGCTGTACATCCCAAAATCTTCTTTTTTTTTTTCCTTGTCTTTTCTAGGCATTGATGGAAAGGTTCAATGCAGACAAACGTATATTCTGCTTCATCCTTTCAACTCGGAGTGGAGGTGTGGGCGTAAACCTGACAGGAGCAGACACTGTTGTCTTTTATGACAGCGACTGGAATCCCACCATGGATGCTCAGGCCCAGGATCGTTGTCACCGAATTGGCCAGACCCGAGATGTCCACATCTATAGGTATAGCGAGTCTCTTCTCTCATCTTCTCGTTGCTAATGGGGTTTCACTAATAGTATTTGACTGTTTACACATGACCTTCATCACTCCCTAGGCTTATCAGTGAACGGACAGTGGAAGAGAACATCCTTAAAAAGGCCAATCAGAAGAGAATGTTGGGAGATATGGCCATTGAGGGAGGCAACTTCACCACAGCCTATTTTAAACAGGTACTAAGATCTTTTAGGAGTCCTGGTGTGGTGCAGAAGGATAAGCACTCAACCTCAAGGTTGGTTTGAACCCCAATTTCAGCAGTTCAAACTCACCAGCCACTCCTTGAAAACCCTACATAGGGTCATTGCTATGAGTTGGAATTGACTCAGTGGTACTTAACAATAAATAACAAGATCTTTCAAGGAGCCATGGTGATGCAGTTGTTAAGCTCTTGGCTGCTAATCAAAAGACCAGTGGTTCAAACCCACCAAGTGCTCTTCAGGAAAAAGATGGAGCTATTTGCTTCCATAAATATTTACAGCCTAAGAAATGTTATAGGGCAGTTCTACACTGTCCTGTAGGGTCAGTATGAGTCTAAATGAACTCCATGTCGATGGGTTTGGTCTTGGTTTACTAGAAACTTCTCGCTTGTGCAGAAGAGAACTATAGGTGTTCCTTTTGCTTGTTAAAGAGGAGCTACATTGGCCAACATGTACCAGCCTTCCAACCAGAGGAGTTTCTGATTTGTCAGCCTCACAACGCTAAAGACCTAGGACTGTTGGCTCTGACACTCTTGGCATCTGTTCTTTCCAACAGCAGACCATTCGAGAACTGTTTGATATGCCACTGGAGGAGCCATCTAACTCATCTCTACCTTCTGCTCCTGAAGATGAGGAAGAGACTGTGGCTAGCAAGCAGACTCACATCCTGGAGCAGGTGAAAAAGAGTGGGCAATCCCTAAAGTAGAAGTGATGCCTAAGAGTATTTCTTGTTTCTATTCTGTTGCATTTGTTCAGAAGAGAAAAAACTGCTGCTTACTAGATTAGATGGTAGTTGGTCTTTGATAGTTTAGAATCCTGGTGTGGTGCTGTAAGATAAGCACTGGACCGCAAAGTCTACCGTTTACCAACTCCTTGGAAACTGTAGAGTTACTGTGAGTTGAAGCCAACTCAACAGCACTTAACAACAAACAACATTTGATAGCTTCAGTAGATTGCTCATTTAGCCACATGATTTAGTAGAAATAAAGACAGGATTTGGAAATCTAAGTTCTAGGTATTCCAATAATACAGCTTAATAATTTATTATGTCTGTTAAACCAAGTTTGTTTATTTCTCTGAGCTTCATTTTCTACCTCTCTGGATTACTAATGAGAAGGATTAAATGGCATATGGGAAAAACATTGGTTTCCAAACTTTTAACATCAGTAAATCACAAACTTTTTTTCATCTCATTGATTGTAATCTCCCCGCCCCTCCCCCATGTAACAATAGTTATCACACTTCTTGTTTTGTATTTGTATTTCCATTCTACCTTCCTTCCCAACTCCTCTGAACCTGTCTCCAGGTAAACGTTGCCCTTTTGACCTTTAATGGTTTACCATTTCATGGTGAACATATACCTACCAACCGCTTAGTTATTGGGTCTTGTTGATGAGTTGCGTTCCAGACCTGAAGGGTGACGAAGGCCCGTAGTCTTGGGTTCTTCCAGTCTCTTTATAGCCAAGTTAGCCTGTTGTCTCTCTCTCTTTTTTTTTTTAATCATTTAAATTTTATTCCACATTGTATCCAGGACCTTTTAATATGAATTCTTTCAGAGCAGTTGGTAATGGTAACTGGGCATCATCTCTTATTCTTCTGGTCTCAGTGGTGGTGACTGATGTTCACATGTTCATTTTTGATAAAAATAGACTCTAAATAAATTCTAAGTGATCAAATAGACTCTTAATTTTGTGGGAAGGGGTGGTTTTCCCCTAGAGCTTCCCAGATGTGTAAGCATCATAAAGATGTTTTTTTTTAACTACCAAGTATCATCTCTTCATAACTGAAATACTCTAGGTCACTTCCCTCAGTGACTTTAGTGCGAACTCTGGATATTCATTTCAGTGGAAAAATCTGAAGTGGTTAGTTTGTTGAAGAGCATTATCATGAAGTATGTTAACACCAAAAAGAATTTTAGGCTTTTTAGTATTCAGAATTTTCTGTGACTGCTATTTTCAGAGATCTAAGACTTGGCTCAGGAATGGAAATAGAGCTAGAGGTTTCTAAAAGAATTTTTTTGTCTTTAGTGGGAGTCTGATCCAAATCCATTTTCATTCTTAATGTGAACTACATCATTGCTTTGCTAACTCTGGGAACTTATAAAGAAGTTGTTGTATTGGTGTAATTTTCTTCTCAGATTTTTGCCAGAATCAAATCCCAGTTTTTAAAGGTAGATAAGGTGATCTCTTTTTCTTCTCCACACCCTTGCAGGCATTGTGTAGGGCAGAGGATGAAGAGGATATCCGTGCGGCCACTCAGGCCAAGGCTGAACAGGTGGCCGAGCTTGCAGAATTTAATGAGAATGATGGGTTTCCTGCTGGCGAGGGAGAAGAGGCCAGTCGGGCTGAGGATGAGGAGATGTCCCGGGCTGAGCAGGAAATTGCTGCCCTTGTGGAACAGGTTAGTGTTGGGCCTACGAGTTCTCAACCTCACCCTTTAGAACTCATCTTTTTTGTCTTGCTTGGTAATAAACACAGTGGTGAGGAGCCTTGGCACCAGGTCCCTGTACTCATCATTAGTCCTCCTCCTCCTCCTCACAGCTGACTCCCATTGAGCGCTATGCCATGAAATTTCTGGAAGCCTCACTGGAGGAAGTAAGTCGTGAAGAGCTCAAGCAGGCAGAGGTGAGTATCTCAAGGGGTAGAATTGGAAGTGGAAGGTTGCTGATTTCTACCCACTCCCATCCTAACCACCCCTTGGGCTCTTGTATTGGCAGGAGCAAGTGGAAGCTGCCCGAAAGGACTTGGACCAAGCCAAGGAGGAGGTGTTCCGTCTACCCCAAGAGGAGGAGGGGCCTGGGGCTGGGGATGAGATTTCCTGTGGAACAAGTGGAGGCAGTCACCGGCGCAGTAAGAAGGTCAAGGCCCCTGAGAGGCCGGGAACTCGCGTCAGTGAGCGTCTTCGTGGAGCCCGGGCTGAGACTCAAGGGGCAAACCACACTCCCATCGCGCCCCCCCAACATACTCGCAACACCTCCACGCCGCCCCGCTGCAACCCTGCCAGGGAGCGAGCTCTCCGGCCAACTCCTAAGCCTCGACCCAATACTGCCCCTGCTATCCCAATTCCAGCCCCCATTCCCGTATCATCTCCAAATCCAATAGCCATTCTTCCTGTCCATATCCCACTGCCACCGCCGCCTCTTTCTCCTTCCCAGATCCCTCCCTCTTGTTCTTCTCCTGCCTGTACCCCCCCAACAGCCTGTACCCCCCCAACAGCCCATACACCTCTTCTGACACCTTCCTCCCCTCTTCTACTTGGTCCATCTTCTGTGCCTGTTTCCCCCCCAGGCACCAACCTCCCCTTGGACTTGGGGCCTGAGGTGGAACTGTGTGCACAAACATTAGCATCTCCTGAGTCCCTGGAGTTCACTGGCATGTCCAGTTCCGAGACTTCCCCGCTCGCTCTTGTGTCCCCAAAGGATCTAGTACCAGTTGCTGTTGAGGTCCTGTCTGTGTCCGAGAAGAGCCTTTCTCTAACTCCTTCTGCACCTAGCCCAACCATGGAGGCTGATGACATCCTGAATGGTCAAGAGCAGGAGGGGCCAGAACTTGCCCAGGGAACAATTCTCACAATGCTGCCTGCTAGTGAGGAGGTGCCCACGTGTGTGAATGAGAACAATGGGATGGAGCTCCCACCCCTTGCAGCATCTGTTGAGCCACTTCAGGAGCCATTGGAGACTGACAGGAACTCTGAAGAGCTGGTAGAGACCCAGACTCCAATCTCCAGCCCAGAGAAGCTGCAGGAACTTGTTATAGCAGAGGTCACAGTTCCATCAACCTCATCCTCCACCACCTCCTCACCTGAGGGCCCTTCACTTGCCCGGCCCCCTCGACGTCGTACCAGTGCTGATGTGGAAATTCGGGGTCAGGGGACTGGTCGCCCAGGGCAGCCTCCAGGCCCCAAAGTACTTCGCAAATTGCCAGGAAGACTGGTAACTGTGGTAGAGGAGAAGGAGCTGGTGAGACGCCGGCGACAGCAGCGGGGAACTGTCAACACCCCAGCCCCTGGGGTCTCTGAGATAGGTGCGAACCTGGGAAGCCCATCTAGCTGCAACCTGTCAGGGCAGGAGTCTTCACCTCTCACCAGTGAAGCTGCTCACCTATCCACACTGCCCACCCAAACCCAGCAGCCCTTCATAGCTCGTCGTCACATTGAGCTGGGGGTGACTGGTGGAGGCAGCCCAGAGAATGGAGAGAGGGCACCACCACTCGCTGTCACCTCACCTGCTGTGAAACGCCGCAGAGGGAGGCCCCCTAAAAAAAACAGGTCTCCGGCAGATGCTGGCCAAAAGGTGGATGAGGTGTCCTCATCCACCTTAAAGGGAAGAACCAATGGGGCTGACTCAACCCCTGGGGCAGAGACCCTCCTCGTTGCAGAACCTGTTGTAGGAACCCAGCTTATTCCTGGGCCTCACCCTCTTGGACCCCAGTCACTTCACAAACCCGAGCCCATCGTTTTGTCACCTGTGGAGAAAAGAAGACGTGGGCGACCTCCTAAAGCACGAGATTTGCCTGTCCCTGGGACTATTTCTTCTCCAGGGGATGGCAATTTGGAGAGTCGGACACAGCCGCTCCCACTATCCTTGCCATCCTTTCCACCACTCCTTGCCTGTCCCACTGCTACTGTCACCAACACTGTCACCACTGTCACCATTTCAACATCCCCACCCAAGCGCAAGCGGGGTCGACCCCCCAAGAATCCACCATCACCTCGCCCCAGCCAGCTCCCTGTCCTGGACCGTGACAGCTCATCTGTATTTGAGAGCTGTGGACTGGGGAGGCGGCAGCAACCCCAGGGCCAAGGGGACAGTGAGGGCAGTTCTTCTGATGAAGATGGGGGCCGCCCCCTCACCCGCCTTGCCCGCCTGCGGCTTGAAGCAGAAGGATTGCGGGGACGGAAGAGTGAAGGGTCCATGGTGGTAGCTGTAATTCAAGATGACTTGGATTTAGTGGAGAGTGGGCCAGGCGGGTTGGAATTGACACCTCCTGTTGTTTCGTTAACCCCAAAACTGCGTTCAACCCGGCTGCGTCCAGGGTCCCTGGTCCCCCCACTAGAGACGGAGAAGGTGCCTCGCAAACGGGCAGGGACTCTTACCCCAGGGCCTCCTGGGCAGGCCAAGCGGGGCCGCATTCAGCCTCCAAGCCCCCTGGGGCCTGAAGGTTCTGTAGAGGAGTCTGAGGCTGAAGCCTCAGGTGAGGAGGAAGAAGGGGATGGAACTCCACGCCGCAAGCCTGGCCCCCGCCGGCTTGGTGGAACCAACCAAGGGGACCAACGCATCCTACGCAGCAGTGCCCCTCCCCACCTGGCTGGCCCTACCATTAGTCACAGAGGCCGAAAGGCCAAGACGTGAGTGGGCTGTGCCTCCATTTAGGTGTCCCACCATGGCCACTCTTGCCCCACAACCAGGCCTGACTTTAACCACTACTTGAAGTCTTGGTGGGGGGAATGGGGATAAGCCTCCAAGGGAGACTTAAGGACCTTCTCCTTTCCACCAAAGTAGGGGGTAGGCAATTGGTTGTCATGGAAATGTGGCTCTTTACTTTCCCCTTCCCATCTACCCACATGGTTGGGCAGTGTTAAGGGTGGCCAGATAGTCTCTGTCCCCACCCCCTTGTACTTGATTTCCCGGCTATCTTTCACAGCCCACCACCCATAGGGGAAGGGGGAGGGGCTTCTCCACAATGAGGTGGGGGGATTTTTTGTTTTTGGGGTTTTTTTTTTTTTTTTAAGAGAAAAAAATAATAAACTTAGTTTCTGTATGAGCATCCGCGTAAGGAGGCTTCTGATTTTCTGGTCTGGTGGAGGGTTGGGTGGGAACTTGGACATTTTTTTTTTTTTTTTTTCCCTTTCCCTCTTACCAGGATCCTCAATACCTGATCTCTAACCCTGGATGTTATTTACCTTTAAGTCAAAAATCTTAACACAAGATGAAGATAGGTGCCTTTCTGTAAAATTTCAGATTTTCAGTCACTCAGGATTTTTTCCCTTTCTTCTTCTATTCCCTTGGTTCTTAGACTTTCCCTTGGAGCACTCTGACACTGTAGACTTTTTCCCCCTCTTAACCTTGTTCAAGTGCTTTCACTCCTTTTCCAGAAGGTAGACACCCTAGCTCCAGTTGTTCTTTCCCTTGACCCTCCCCTGTGCTTCATCCAGCCAAACTGGTTTGAGTCAGCCACATCCCCTTCTCAGCTTCTGGGGCTCCTTAGTGGTGGGGTGGCTAAACAACTCCACCCCTGGGCTTGGTTTGGAATCCTGAGTCAGTCCATTCTGCACCTACGCCGAATCAAACCTGAGGCAGGAGCCGAAACTCACAATTCCTCAAGGCCTATAGCCAGGTAAGAGCCCCTGTTCCTTGTATTCTTAACTCCCTAGAACTTGTTTTCTCCACTGGCTGACTGTAACTGTGTTTACCTTACCTGAGTTCTTTCCTCACATCCATTCCCCTGCAGCTTAGTGCCCCACATTATAATTTGCTTGTCATGCTATCACTCCATCCATTGTCACCTGTATTCAGGGAACCACACTTGGTCTTGTCTAGGATATAGGGAAATGGCTGGAGGTGAGGGTGGAAAGGTGGTTGTGATGTCAGAGCTCAGAGGACCTGAGAAATGAGTAGGTAGGGCGGCATGCAGAATTCAGTCATGAGGTCATTTGGACTGGGGGAGTGTTCTGATAGTGATGACTTGAGTTTAAATGGAGAAAAGGTGGGAGGGAATCAGCAAAAGAAGTCCTGACTAGGAAGGTACTGTCTTGGTGTTCAGTTTCCCCGACTACCTATGAGAAAAACTGAATAGTAGATGGGTAGCTTTTCCCTTTACCCCATCCCTGAACCATGTTTTCACATGGAATGGTTGCTCTACTTGAATTGGGGAGGAGGACCTGGGATCCCATTTTCTGTTCATCCTTAATATTCTGGGAAATTTCAGGGAGTCCTAAGGCCCTTTGAAATGGTTTAAAATCACTGACTTTGATGCCCTCAGGTTCCTCACAGTGTCTAATAATGCTGTATTTCTCTATTGCTTCTCAATGTGTACCTGTCACTGCTGCTCCCTGCTTATCAATATGTAACAGAGGTAATGCTACTTTACTACTGCTTGCCTCCAAAAAGTTGGAGAAGCTGAGGAACAAAAATCCCAGCCACACGTTTCCTGCCCTGGTGTATGAGTCACTAGAGGAATTCCCCAGTAAGGCAGCATTCCTCAGAGTTGGGCTAAGCCAGGAGAAGAGAATGCTCTTGAAATGGGTGGAGTTTGAGCAAGCCAGGCCAAGGGTTCAGTTTGAGGCTTACAAGTACCTTGACTATCGTCCACAGGTAATGGAGGATGAGGAGAAGGCAATGGAGATCTTGGTGAGCAACATGGAGGCTGCTCATTCTCCATCCCCCATTCACTGCTGCTGGCTCCGCCTTCGCTACTTGGCAGCTACCAGCATTATCTGTGGTTGTTCTTGCCTGGGAGTCATGGCTCTTGTGTTTGCCATCAAGGTGAGAAAAGCAATTCCAGTGGAAGCAGGTGGGTGGGTTATAAAGCAGTGGATTTTCCTATATCTGATCAATCATATTTATCAAAGTCACTATATCTATCATTGCTCGACTATGGGTTGAGTGCCAGAAAAAAATTAAGACATGGTTCCTGCTAGTAAAGGGCTCATATCATAGTCTAATGAAAGAGATGGCAGAAAACCAGATAAATAGAATGCGACTCAGTGCCATGATCGAGGGAAACCAGAGCACTGTGGGAGCCAGGGAGGATATGTGTATGTGATTATATGTGTATCTGGTGGGGTAGGCCTCAAAGAAGGCATAGGGGAAATGGCACATACAAAAAAATAACCTTAAATGATGAGTGAACAAGGGTGAAAGGGCATTCATTAAGGTAAATGAGAGATTGGGAGAGATGAAGCCAAAGGGCCCAGACTCTCAGTGACATTGAATGGTGTGCTTAGGAATTTGGGCATTATCTTGAAAGTACTGTGGAACCGTTGAAGGGTTTTCATGGGGGCAAAGTGACATGACCAGATTTGTGTTTCAGAAAGATCCACTCTCAAGGCTTGCATGGAGGGTAAATTGGAGGGGCAAAACTGGAGATAACTGATCAGTGATGAGAGCAAGCTCTAGGAGACTAGAAAGAGTTATTGGCCCCTGAGAGGGCTTCACCAGTTCAAAAAACCTAATAGAAACTTCCATGTGTACCTTTTCCTGCTTAAACATCATCCTGACCCTGCTGAGATGATTTCAACTCATGATGGTAACCCTAGTTGTAGTGGATCAATTAGAAACTCTGTTTTTATAATCAGACATTTCTGGGTTTCATTAGGGCAAAATCATTAAAAGGATCCTGAGTGATGAATGCAATGGAACCCTTTGGGATATTAAGATTTTTGTTTGACTGAATGAATATGTGTTATAAAATACTGGTTATTTTGAAAAACCCCAAATTCTGAATGACTTTGAGATGGGTAGAAAGGAATTGAGAATAAAAGGATGTAAAAATACCTTATGTGATATTGAAAGCTAACTTTGGTCTTCCCAAGAAGTAGGCAGGGCAGAGAAGGATACCTTATTTTGCAGATGAAGCACAAAAAACAAGCTGGAAAGAGGGAGGTTGGTTATTTGAGTGTGAGATTTTAAGCCACAAAAGGAATAGGGGAGTGGATGGAAAGTGCAGTGGGGTAACAGGCACATTGGGGCAGAAACAGAGAATCTAACCAAGAATCTGCCCCCACAGGCAGAAGAGCGGCATAAGGCAGGCCGGTCTGAGGAGGCAGTGCGCTGGGGGACCCGGGCTCGGAGGCTCATCTTGGCCAGCTTTGCTGTCTGGTTCACGTTCCTGGTTCTGAGTCCCTTGCTGCTGTGGTTGCTCTCTTACGCCATCGCCCAGGCTGAGTGACCCTGGGTGATGGCCGCTGAGGGTCAACTGAGACTTCCTGGGTCCTGCAAGGCAACATTGCTGGGGTCCAGTGCCAGCCGTGGTCCTTGTCTGGCTGGAAGGATGGTGTCTCTCCCAAGTAACTTTGAGAAGAGCTCATCTAGCCCTTTCTGAAAGGAGGGCAGCAGTTGAGACTGTCAAGAGGAGGTTAGCCTGCTCTGTTCTTTCAGCAACCTCTACCCCATATCCCTTCAGCCCATCTGATGGCCTCCGGACGGCTGGAGACCAGGCCTGATTTTATTAGAATTTGTTTTGTAATAAAAAATTTTTTAGTGGTGAAATGCTCCTGTCTAATTGGTCTTCCTCTGCTTTCCCTTGGGCCCTTGGTGAGAACCTAGCTAGATCTCCAACTGATGGCAGAGCCTGGATCTCATCTTACCTAGAAGCTCTTTTTCTGGAAGTTCCCCTTCTTGGAAAGACCCTAGCTTCTCCCTTACACATCAACAGAGACCCAAAGGTCACAGAGGATGAGTAGTAGCAGCAGCCTGTATTTATTTACTATATTTTAGACTTTATTTCTGAATTCCTTAAGTCATCACAATTACTAATGTAACATTATTCTCATTTTATAGCTGAGGAAACTGAGGCACAAGATCATATAGCTAGTATGTGGCAATGTGAAGATTAAACCCAGACATTTGGCCCCAGAGTTGAGAGGAGTAAAAGGGTTGAGTAACAGCAACAGCCATGGTATATAGGGAGATTTAGTTGTGTGGTTATAAAGGATTTCACAGTTGAACTTCCAGCAAGATGACGAACTAGGCAGACTCACTACACAGACCCTCTACAACAAAGATAGGAGAGACAAAACAGACACAGATGAAAATTCTGGCAACCTGCACTTCAGAAGAAAGGTTAGAAAGGTGGATAGATGCTTGCTGGGAGGAGAGGCTGAGCAGGCACTGCGAGAGAGGGAGAGAGACAGGTGAACAACTGGCCAGACACAGCTCGACCATCCTGTGAGCAACTCTGGCAGCAGAGGGAGGCCCAGCGTTTGTGTGGCTAATGAAAAGGTGGGATTTCTTCTTTTCCCCCCACATTCCCTGGTGACAAGAAGTGTGGCCAGCTCCCACCCTCATCCATCACAGCACAGACCCTGCTCTCTCAGAGTTTGGAGCCACTTGGAAGTCATCCCAGCATGAGGTGGAGGCTGGCTGCATGCTTTGGTGTAATGTTTTGGTGCCTGCATTTAGGTGGGCTTTGCTCCAGACTTACAAACCTACAGAGCCACCAGACCAGCATTTAACTAGTCGTCCTGCCCCGCAACTGCCCTGTGGTCCTGATAGACACCTGAAACCAGTTCCATCAAGGGTGCCCATGAACTACTGCTGGACTGAGTGCCCTGAGCATAGATACACCAAGGCCAACAGTAACTCTATCTAGGCCCAGGAACTCTGCTGTCACTGCTAAAAATTGGGCCATA